TCACGCACGCACACACACACACACACACACACACACACTCTCTCTCTTTCTCTCTTACACACACACAACACACACACACACACACACAGCAATGCCTATACATGTACACAGTATACCCACCCCATGCCTACATACATGGTCCCCCACATTGGCGCGAAGAGCCAGTTGGGAGCGCACCACCAGGGCTTGGACAGACCGACGTACCAGCAGCGAGCCTTCTGGGTCTGCATGTGTGCGATGAAGCCGCCCACATTCGGCACCAGCGTCGCCGCGAAGGGAGGAACCCAGTTTACAGCCATCTTAGTATAACTGAAGTAAACGCTAGGATGGCAGGATGGGGCATACCATTCAAGACTTGGGCTTGGGGGTTTTAAAATGGAAGAATCCAGTTCACAAACAAGCTAAAGCTGCATGGGATGGCAGGATGGGGCGTACCACTGAAAAGTTGGGGGTGTTAGAATGGAAGAACCCAGTTTACAAACTCCTGCTAGCACTGGGATGGCAGGATGGGGCTTACCATTAAATACTTGGGGGTGTTTGAATGGAACAAGCCAGTTCACAAACAAGCTAAAGCTGGGATGGCAGGATGGGGCGGACCACTGAAGATTTAGGGGTTCTCAAACTAACGCTGAGATGGCAGGATGGGGCATACCACTCAAGATTTAGGGGTGGGTAGAATCCCAGCTGTATCCTTAAGGATGATGGGACCTACCACTCAAGACCAGACGTAGGGGTGGGTAGAATAGATTACAACCAAGTGCACAAACAGCCTCAGGCAAAGGTAGGATTAGTATAGGCTCTGAGTATGCAGGGACGTACCACTTAAGACAATTTGCTAAGTACTTAGAGATAGGTAAAAGGCCACAAGACTAAGTACAGTATTATAGGACTATGTTGCCTGGAAGGCTGCAATACCGGTAAGAGAAGAAAGAGGGCAGTGTGTGTATGACCTTACCTTACCTTAGACTAGTTTCTCCTGTGCCTAATCGGGCAGTATGTATGGGAGGAACATAAAAATAGTGTAAGCGACTCATTCTTGATAATACATGTAATAAAGGAACATAAGATGTAACATGTTTGGTATTCCTGGGACATACACTCTTTTTGATACTGCATTTAATATTAAGGTACCATGAAAAACACCTTGCAATCAGAGATAGCAGACTTCACCCCCTTGCATGTTCATGAAATTCTCTACTTAAACAGACACTGGAATCTTTCTTCCACTGTCTTGAGCCATGCCTGATTCTTCCCCAGTCCTTTGAATTCAAGACACATCAAATGTGTTCATTCAGGCAAGATGTTATAATAAGGGTGTGACTCTGTGAGTGCGGCAGGCAGCTCATTAAAATGGCTGATTACTCTCTACACAGAAGAGCATGTAGGCACCAAATTAACAGGTGGTTGATATGTTATTTTCCATCTGCCACCACTTTGGAGTACGAATTACGTAGAATTGAAACGGCTGATCTTTATGCTTTCAGTAGGAGGGCACATAAGGCCTCCAATTATCTGATCTGTTGTCTGATTATTTTTCTTTCGCTGACACTTTTTGTTTCTAATAATGCAATCTGCTACTTTCGGATTGTCTTTTGTTCATATTTTCCTGTTCTATTCCCCCTACTTATAGCCTGGGTACCATACGCAAATTTTTTTTAGCACTGCGGAGTAAAAATCCGGATGGTACCCTCAGGCTGTTAGGCTATGGTAACCCAGCTTACCCCATGCATAGCTGTGTTTTATACAGGATACTGGATAGTCATAAAGATGTACAAATTACATGGAATTAAAAGGCCTTATTCCACTGATCATCTGGGAAAGTACCTCAATCATGAATTTTGTTGTTAGGCCACACCAGTGTAATTTGTTGGTTCACGGATTCTGATTATCAATGTGCACCTTTCTGATTGATTTTTTTTTTTCATTTCATTTTCCATTTTTCCCTTTCCTTACCCCATGGCTGTGTAGAGCATGGTCCAAACCGGCGCAAAAACCCAGTTAGGCGGTCTGAACCAGGGCTTCCTGATCTCATTGTCGTACCAGGTCCGGACATTTCGGGATGAGACGACCGCGCCCGCGAACCCCCCCAGGTGGGGCAGCACGGAGGCAAGAACGGGCGCGGCCCAGCTGGGAGATACCATTCTCTCGAAGGGGGGAGCTGAGGCTGAGGAAACAGTTGCAGTTTATTATGGGGATATCAAAACTTGACAATACACTCACTCACACTCACTATTCCAGGATTAGATTATACTGCTGCTGTTGTCCCTGCCACAGGGGTCGGCAGCAGTCGGCTAGTAGTACTGGTCTTCACACTGCACCTCCAGGCAGCCCTGTCCAGTGGGTTAGCACTGGCAAGGCCGCGCTCTCTAATAAAAAGTTAATTACTGCTAGAACCAAAGCCAAACTATATGTAGTTGGAACTGGAAAGTGTACTATATAATCAGGACAGTACAAACTAAACTCCTGTATCACAAAATGGATGCCTTTTTCCTAAAGTATGGTCTGTTTACATAACCAGCATGCTGCCTGAGTGCTGAAAAGCATTAAGTAGGTCAGCCAACAAGTTTGGGCCTAATTCAGAGTTTCACAGTTCTAGTACAAGCTACTACAGCTCACCTACTTCTTACCTGTCCTTAAGGTAACCAGGTGGTGAAGAATAGGTAGAAGAAAAAGTACAAATGGACTGACCCTGCCTTAACTGATACTGCTACTCACTGTGTTTTACACAGTATATATGCCTCTATGGGGCAGTTTGACCTCAGGGTCATTGGACTGTCCCACTCCTGACCTGAGGGGTGTACTCTGGGATCTTACACAACAGTTGTGTAACAGTAGTGCAAAGGTTATCAAGAAGAGATGCTAGCACTACAGAAACTCAGAAAGTACCCAAGCAAGGCCAACCAGTCAAAAGCGAGGAGAGCCTGCTCCTGTATAACTACTGGCCTCTTCAGGAGTCATCTTTGATTCTTATTCACTGAGTGACTTAAAGACAAACCACCTGTTGACTGACTTAAGTAGGATTACCAGAAGGAGAAAGAGATAACAAAGGCAAGTACAGCACAAACATTTGTGGTGGGGCAAATCAACTCCCTTGGCTTGCCATCTCTTTTAGCGTAACACTCCTACTGGGGGGCCTGTTAAACTGGGCGGGGAAAACTATATTAGAGCCCTGAAGACAGCCTGCCCCAACTACCATGCCCCAACCATGATACTGGCTAAGTCAAGTACAGTACTAGTAGACATACCTTTGAGAACCCTACTATAAGGACCAGACTAGCCTTGAGGAGTTGTGTTGAAGCACAGATGTGACCCAAACAGCTTGGAGAAGTGACCAACAACAGGTGGTTGTGTAAGCGTCATGTGACCTTCCTGATCAAGGTCGCGCCCTTACATGACCCTACAGGGTCCATCCATAAAGGACCCAGGAAAACTTAAGATTGCACTTTTGTGAAGATCTTCTCTCAGTAAGTTCCTTACAAAGTTAAGCAAATGAAAATTTCCTAAATGTCTATCCAGAAACATAAATAATGATACCGGTAGTCTATAATTAAAATTCTTAAAGAGCTTCTAAAAGGTAAGAATCAACAGAGCAAATACACCCCTCTTTCTAACTTGGTACAGTCTGGGTTTATCATGTCCTTGAGAGTTTAGTTATTCCAGGTAAACACATCAGCTGATTGTGAGGTTAAAGGTCGGCAGCACCTGTGGGGTTGTGAGGCATTAACAGCAGAGCATTCGGCTCAGAACCAAGAGGTCCCAGGTTCGAATCCTGCCAAGTCACAAACCTAGCTTGTGCTCTTGGGAAAGGTACTATATACGATTACGGCTTTCCTCAGGTAAAAATGAGTATGCCAGAATGATCATTATCATGATCGTGGGCATTAACAGATAAAATCTTATACTATAAGCACCCCTGAGACCACAGGTGTTTTTTTGGTTATAGAATGTAATTTAACAATTTTCAGGATGAGGAGCTCAGTACACGAAAAAAAATTACACATAATTGCTTACAATTGCAAAACATAACTGCTCAAATAAAAGATGACAATATATAGAGGCTGAGCTCTACCATTAGTACAGGGGAGTCAAAGTTTCAGAGTCTGGTCTAGCTGACTCAGTATGGTGTGAAAATACTGAAGTTGCCTCTTATATACATTGTACACCATGAAGCAACTTACCAATCGTGCAAAACAAACAAACAAACAAACAAACAAACGTGGCTTACCCCATGCTAGCATACAGGCTAGCCCAGACCGGTCCAAACACGTAGTTCGGTGGGGTCCACCAGGGTTTCTTAACCTGCGCGTCATACCACTTCAGATTCTCCTTCCCCGCAAACGACGCTCCAAACCCCCCCACAAGCGGGTGGAACGTTCCGATGACTGGCGGGAGCCAAGATGGAGCCATGAGATCAAATTACACCCTGCTGAGGAAAGAGAGAGAGAGAGAGAGAGAGAAAACACATGCAAAAATCACTGAAGATCTTACCCCATGGTGGCATACAGACTGGTCCATACGGGTGGGAACAGATAGTTGGGGGGCGTCCAGGAGGGTTTTTTGATCTTGTCGTACCAGGTCATGGCGTCTTTTTGCTGAACTAGCGAGCTTCCAGCTACACCGAGTAGGGGGTGAAGCGTGCCGAGGATTGGAGCAAGCCAGGAGGGGGCCATGGTGCTGATACTACACTGGACAAACAAGCAAACAAGCAAACAAACATGGACCTAATTTACTACTTTGCAAACAAGCAAATAACAAGCAAATAAATAAACACTAGAGCTGGTTTACTTCTAAACAACATGGGGCAAAGAAACAAACAAGCAAACAAATAAACAAACAAACACACATGGGCAAAGCAGGGATAGCTGAGGCAGGAAGCCTTCTACAGTTGTATACCGTATAACAAAAAATTGTGTTTTAGGAGACCACATACAGTCTCTCCTTTTGCTTCCCTGTAACATTGAACTTCAGGGAGCCATGCATGGCACAATTGAATATAAATCAAGTACATTCTGCAGACAGACATTCAGCTGCAATCATTGGATCACCTAATATCTTTTTTGCTAACGTTAGGACATGATACAATTTTGTGATCGAGGGCAGGCCTTGATCTAAAGTTAAAATCGTGTACAAAATGGGACAAAATAGTTATATCAGGTTTCAAAAAATTCATTGCATTTTCTGAATCTGATACAAAAGATCACTCACAGACTAGACACCCAGACAATCAAATGTAACATCTAAACAACATAACGTTGGTGTTGAACTTGAAATTCACTACCATGCACCAGTTTTGTCCTTGTCAAATTTTCTCCTCTGAATTGGTGTAAGGTAAAATATATTTACTGTTATGTTTATAACTGTTTAGAGTCTTACCTGTGGTCTTTATTCTTGTCAGAGCTGGCGAAATACGCAGTTCTCAGAATAGGAACATCAAGTGTTTACATATAACAGAGTTGAATTTGATGGTTCGGGCGAGTACATTGCCAGGGGGATGCGTGCGTTTTATTTTAACTATAGAAATTCATATTTATGGTGAATAAAGTCCTACATCTTTACTATTTAAGTCATTATTATATTTAATATAGTCTGTTATTTGTGTATTATAATGTAGTCTAAAAAATTAAACACATTGAATTGCAATAAGGTATCAAGATAATAGCCACCCCATTGTCAAAGTGGTATAGACTAATAACCTTTTACCTGAAGACTATACCATTATAAAAGAAGGGTGATCCATAGTTGCTACTGTACATTATATTCTTCCAAAAATTTGAAAAATTTCCAATTATTCCAATAGCATATAATCAACAAAATAATTTCACGTAGGATACAATGATTATTGAAAGTCAGATGTTTTGAAGAGGGCAAATGATAAATGTATTGTTAACTATGAAATTTCTGCCTCCCCCTCTATTTGAATGGATTCTGCCGAACCTTCACTTCCGGGTTCGACAGGCAAGGTGTACGTGACTTTATACACGTATGTAGTGTTTTTGGGGCATTTGTAGGGTGAGTTTAGAGCTATAAGATCATGGATCTTGTCTTTATCTTCAGATTTTTCCCTAGTTCAAGTCCTTCTTTTGTAAAACCAACTTAAAAGAGAACTTTTCGTGTTGGGCGTTCATCCAAAATCTCCTTGAGCTAATTAAATTGTTCGGCATGCATGTGTCGTTGAGAGATAACTTGTTATGTGTCGTAATATGTTCAAATAAATTTTGTGTAATAAACATATACCATTTACACGTATATTTCACCCAAGAGAATTTATACATTAACATAATTATGAGCCCTGGATTTTGGCTACTTTACTTTAGTGACAATGACGTAAGAGAAGTCTTTATGAACTTTGCATCAAAGAGATTTGTAAGAAAGCAATCACAGAAATTACTTATAAAAGTGCAGGGACTTTCTTAAGGTTCTTAATCCGTAGGCAGCCTCCCCCAAAAATCAACGAAATTCGTAATACATGTAGTACATTAGCCGCAAAGCGTTAAGTCGTAATCAGCTCTAAACTAATTCATAATCGGCAGTGGAAGTTTTGCTGAATTCATAATCACTACCACCCCCACCCCCACCCCATGCAGGCCCTCTTAGCATAGTACACCTAGGAACTTGGACTTAAGCAAGTTTTTCGCTCATTTTCTAGACGAGAAGACGAGAGATTGGACCAATGGGAGTCAGCGGTCTCCAGTTGACCCTTGCCCTGATCAAACCTGACGTCCACGCCCACCCCGGACTGTACCAACACATCGTGGGGACCGTCCTGAAGAACCGACTTCTGTTTGTGAGAAGCAGGGTTCTGAGATGGTCCCGGCAGGACAGCGCAAGTTTCTATGGTGAACATGAAGGCAGGTTCTTCTATAATCGACTGGTGGGATTCATGGCAAGTGGACAGATGAGCGCACACATTCTGGCAGGTGGGGAACCGGTTTGTTTGTTTGTTTATTTAAGGAACCTCAAATTAGTCACAATACAACCACTACTCTTTTGCAGTCCTCTAACATCATTACATCATGTTGCAATTTTATAGCAGGAGGGATTTTGACTCCTGTCACCATATATATGAATATGTCTTTGGGTAAGAATTAACAGAGCAGATCATATTTCAAGGTAGAGCAGACCATATTGCAAGGTAATCATTATGCATTTGCTTTGCAAATGTTACTAGTTCTAATGTTGTTTTCTTTCTTCATCACCAGGCGAAGACGCCATTTCCCGATGGCGACAGTTGATGGGACCAACCAAAACCTTCCGCTCACAGTTCACACACCGTGAGTCCATACGGGGACAGTTCGGACTAACCGACACCAGAAACTGCACACACGGTGCAGACTCTGAGAAAGCGGCTCTACGCGAGATGCAAATCTTCTTCCCCGAGTTTGACGCCAAGACGTGGTGGAAGGAACAGTCCGAGTTCTTCAAGGAGGGGAGGGTCCATTTTGATGAGGGGAGGGTGGAGCATGTACCAGTGGGGAAAGTTCATTCTGATGAGGGGAGGGTGGAAAACACACCGGTGGATAGAATTAGTTGATGAACACTTGGGATTACACTGTGGTGTAGCTTGGTGGTATATATACGTACTCAAAAGTGTGAACTATTCAACATTTACTGGTTCTTGGCAGGGGTCTATAGCCTGAGATGATGTAGGACTCGGGAGCTATAATAGGTTTGGTAACCAGGCTAAGGGCTCTAGCCAGCACCCATTTTTCGGTCAATTGCAGGAACTTTGTGATACATGTGTGATGGAAAATTTTTTATACTTGGACAAAATTGACAAAAAATCTTGAGTAAAAATATAAAAACACCCAAAGGACCACCACTAACCAATATCAACCCCATGATTTGCCTCTCAAAGAAATTGTGACCTTGCATTTAAAGGCTTAAAATTTGTCCCCAGACCCACCTACCTTCTGAGCACTCTCCCCCCAGGTCCGATCGTGAACCTGGCTAACGGAAAAAGATTTTGAGCTGGCTAGAGCTCTGGTTCTTGTTTGGTATAACTTTGAAAAATTACAGCTACAGCCTGATTGAAGACACAACAGGAGCACCTTTAGAGAAAGACTTTATTTTTCTATTAACAGAAAGGGTAAAGCATTACATAAAATTGCATTATTAACATGTAAAAACAGTTCATCACCTACCATTATGATATGGTCATAAAATAGTGATTTGATATGCCATCTGAAATATACTTGGTGATTCTGAATATACAATTATTGCATTATTTTGATATATACTCATATATATACTTTTTATTCAACAGTTAAAAGTCATTGATGCTACAGGCAGCATTACAGTTGTACATGTAGGAATGTGTAGCATGTTTTGTGACATCTAGATGGAGGTCTAGTCCTACTTGTACATGATAAAAGTTGGCAGCATATGATATTATCCAACTTTGAATGAATCTTCCGTACTGCACCAGCTAGAATTCTTGACTCTACTTTATAAATCCCTTCTTTGTCTAAAAGAGAACAAATTTTACTCAATCAGACCATCTTTACAGAAAAGTATATATATATATACCCCCCTCCCCTTAAAATACATGTATTGTAACATACAGTATAGCTTCAGCTAAGAATAAGTTGGACGTACATATTATGGTGAAAAAATAGGTTGTACTAGCACAGCACAACACACACACACACAGTCAGACACAGTCACATCTTTTGCTATGGAAGTTCCATATAATGGAAAGAAACTGCATCAGAATCATTGACAGAAATGTACATATTCAACGCACCACTATCTTATTAACTGTATCATAAGATATGTGTAAAACTATATTATAACAACCTAATAATAACTTGCTGTGCTGTACAATATGTGGAGGTAAATGTGACTATATTTTTCTCTTTTTTTCCTAAAATGACTGAGTACATGAACTTTCACATTATAGTTTACAGAACTGCATCATTTAGAAAACAAAACTATAAACCTGCTACACATGGAGTAACATTATGATGATTCCACCACTAATTATTTGTACAAATGTATGTGATTATGATGTTAGGTTTTATTGAATTTCTATATTTCTTTCTGAACTATGTTCAACTCTTTTTCCCATACATTGCACCTTGTACAATTGTCGTGCAATAGCATCTTTCTGTATGGTTAGAAGACAACAGTTAAGGAATTAAAAAGAAAAACATTTTCTTTATGACATTATTTTGTTACTGTTGTTGTACATGAAATTTATAACATCACCAAAAACATTCAAGTATCAACCAAGAAACCAGGCCTTCTGTCTATGTTTAAGTTGTCACACAAGACTTTTTTTACACGTTTGGGCAGGATTTGATTTTGAAAGAGTCCACACTGCACAGTAAGCTCAGCACAGATGCTGCAACAAACCTTGCGATAGGAGGCCTAAACAGGTACATACTATTAGGTTAGAAGTATACAGTGACTCTTTTGATTATCTTGCGACAGAAAGTCTAAAGCACTACAGCCTGTACAGGACCATACACATGTATAGGTCAGTAGTATACAATGCCCCTTTAGGCTATGATGTGACAGGAGGCCCAATAAACAAGTTAGTAGTAAGTTAGTAGTATACAGTGCCCCTTTAGCCTATGTTGCGACAGGAGGCCTAATACACAAGTTAGTGGTATACAGTGCCCCTTTAGACTATGATGCGACAGGAGGCCCAATACACAAGTTAGTAGTAAGTTAGTAGTATACAGTGTCCCTTAAGATTATCTTGCGACAGAATGTCTAAAGCACTACAGGACCATACACAAAGTCATGTATAGGTTAGTAGTATACAGTGCCCCTTTAGGCTATGATGCGACAGGAGGCTAATGCACTACAGGGCTGTGAAGGTTGCACCTAGTGTAGACAGGTTGTCCTTGCATCGGAGTGGCTTTACACTCTGTAAGAAACATGCAGAAAAAAAAAGAAATGAACTCTGTGTTAAAGACAGAAAAGGCAGCCACCAGAAATAAGAAATATTTACAAATAAACGTGTAAAAAAACATGAAATTAAAAAAAAATCTTTTGGGAAAATGAAATCACGATTTGCACAGAAAACACACTAATTTGCCTTTAGTTGAAAAAAATATGTTGAAGGAATATTTACAAATAAACGTGTAAAAAAAACATGGAATTAAAAAATATTGTGAAAAAGAAATTATGATTTGATTTGCACTGAAAACACACTTTAATTTGCCTTAAGTTAAAAGAATATGTTGCATTAAGAAAACATCACAGCTAGATTCTCATCAAATAAATATATTTTGATTGATTGATTGATTGATTGATTGATTGATTGATTGATTGATTGATTGATTGATTGATTGATTGATTGATTGATTGATTGATTGATTGATTGATTGATTGATTGATTGATTGATTGATTGATTGATTGATTGATTGGTTGATTGATTGGTTGATTGATTGACTGTAAGGAAAATCTGGATGACTTGCTAAATTGTAATTTGTGTGAAAGGCAATCTTCAATCTGGCTTTGCAAATATTTGAAAATAAAAGATATCTCTCATAAATTTGTGTACAAAAATTTTAAAGAGTTACACCTGAATAAGTTATAGCTAGTAAGAACACCATAGAAAAAGCACAGACTCCCCCAGCAGTGTTAGTGTACAACCCCCAAATCAAATCTAGGGACTGCCCAATCACAACAGTGGTGTTAGTGTACCCTCCCCAAGTACAGACAGTAATGCTGAACCAGTGGTGTTAGTTAGTGTACTATCCCCACAAAAAGTAGCATTTATCTAGCATATATCAAATTGAATGCATTATTATGATTTCCAAAGCATTTTAAGAAAATTACTTAAGATTTCAGATCAGAAGGCCTGATTTCTTTGATTATTCAAAGTTTACATGAAACAAGCAGTAATTTAAAATGAAAAACACTCACCTGTTTAAGCAATAAAAATGTACTATCTAATATACAGTAACTGTACACTAATATATTTTCTGAATACTCATGTACAAAATCTACAAAAATGTATAATAAGTTCTGTAATACAGCTCCTTATACATAATAATTATGTACCTGTAAAGTGGCATTTAACCCTCAACCTTCCAAGGCTCTAGGGCACATCCATGGCATTCAATTAACCCTTAAACTCCTAATCTCTAGAGTGCTTCCATGCACAGAATTTGTGCAAAGAAACTGGCATGTAAGATTCCTACAAGTCCTGAGTATAACTTTCCTTTTCCTTTATTTTACAAAATCAGCTCCATCAGTGATGAGTGGTAATATCATATACTAGACTAAGTACCCATATTATATACTTAAATAGCAGAGTTTTATCCAGTTTCTTCCGTGTTTTCTGGAGTTTTGTGAGCAATTATAGCACTTAACGGAAGACACCATCGATATCTTCAAAACCATAATAATTTCCAAGAGTAGACTGATAGTTACTCCTATTGGGCACATTGTAAGTCAGTTCTCACTCTTAGTAAGTCCACCTTGTCTCCAGCTTTGATGTTTCTGACTTAGGCAGAAGAGATGCTATTACAGTAACCTGAACTTTAAGTTCAGTGTCCAGAAATGATCTCTTACACTAAAAAATTCAAATTACTGTCACAATAATGATCCCAGGATTGTTTTCCCTTTTTGTTGATGTACTGTATAGCATTTACATTATAAGTATCAGTCAGCTACAATAGTCAGCTCCTATGTCTAACACATGTATGTAGCATGTTTAGTGTTAAAACTTTAGATCCAACACAAAAAGTTCTCTCACCTAGAGCTTTCGACCAGTCACTCTGGTCTTCCTCAGTAGACTGACCCAGTGAGACTTGTCACGTGGCTTCTTTGAAGATGAGAGAACTTTTAGTGTTGGACCAAAAGTTTTAACTCCAAACATGTAACTACCAACACAGATGAACTTTCATGATGTAATACTATGTAACATGATAGGCTTGTTGCCATGACGATACAGCACACCTGACAGGTGATTTCCCGGACAGGTGTTTGTCCAGGTGTGTTTCACACCTGCATGTTATGTCAGGGCAGGTGAGAAACGTTGGTGGTCATACCCATACCTTCGTCCAGTTTGTTCCAGTCCCAGATCTCCTGCAGTAAGGGCAGCATCGTCTTGTCCTGGACCTGAAATAAACAAACAAATAAATAAATAAACATCAAACATCTTCTTGTAACACAGGATGTGTTTGGAATGGTATACAAGTATGTTCATGGTTTTGACACGAGTTTGGAGTGGCAGAAGTTAATGTACTGTAATTCCTAATTTTTTCATGGTACTTTTATGTTCACTGTCATTTCTGTACAATGAACTCTTCATTACAGTTATAACAAATAGTTCCTCTACTTTCTTTTTCCTGTACCTTTTGCCGCTGTGAATATATCCGTGAACATGTCCACTTTTCTCAGACCATGAAATTTTGCTACCGTGAACATCAAGTGAATTACATTACCTTGTAACAGAGGATGTGCTTAGAGTGGTAGAAGTTGATCGTCCGGAGTTGCGTCAGACGACTCAGCAGCCGAGGGAAGAACATGGGGTCGTTTGGTCGTCGGGCGTGGCAGTACGTCTCCAGGGCGAACAGGTACGGCTCCTGCACCTTCTCCACGGCCGAGTAGTTCTGCACGTACTGACGGTCTGCGGAAAACAGCGCTCTGATTGGTTAACTTGTATTTAAACCGACCAATCACAGGACGGACGTACCTTCTCCACGGCAGAGTAGTTCTGTACATACTGACGGTCTGCGGAAAACAGGGCTCTGATTGGTTAACCTATATTCAAACTCACCAATCACAGGACGGAGGTACGGTGGAGTAGTTCTGCACGTACTGCTGGTCTGTGGGAAACAGCGCTCTGATTGGTTAATTTGTATTCAAACTGACCAATAACACAGAGCTGCTAAAGACCATGGTCTATGATTGGTTAACCTGTATTCGAACTGACCAATCGTACCTGGGGACAGCGGTGCGACAGCCGTGAGCAGAGCACACTCGAACCAGAAACTGGTCTCTGATTGGTTAACCTGTATTCAAACTGACCAATCACACAGAGCTGCTTCAGTAACTGGTCTCTGATTGGTTAACCTGTATTCAAACTGACCAATCACACACAGCCACAACAGACACCGGTCTCTGATTGGTTAACCTGTATTCAAACTGACCAATCGTACCTGGGGACAGCAGCGCAACAGCTGTGAGCAGAGCACACTCGAACCAGTCCAGCTTCAGCTGCTGGATGCTGTGCAGGAAGTCCATGAAGGTGTGCACAAACGTCTCAAGAACACCTGAAGAAACAGAAAACAACTTTCACTGTTTGCGCTAAGACGTTAGAGATCGTAAGCAATGTGTCTAGTTTAGAATGTCTAGATGTAGTTGAAAACTAGAAACGTAATATTTGCAAAGCAAATGCATAATGTTTACCTTGTGAGTTCGCATATGGTCCGAGTACTCTGTTATTGTTAATTCTTATTCAAACACATCATATATATGGTGACAGGAGTCTAAATCCCTCCTGCTAAAAAAATTGCAACATGATGTAACCCAACACTAGTTACCATGGAGACAGATGTCTGGTTCAGCTCATTGACCGTATTTATTTGGATCAGGAGAAGAGGAAGATGAAACAGAGCAAAACCCTTATATTTTCCTTCGGTAAACATAATTAATATTACGTAATTAACGAAGACTGGACGAACCTGCGTTGATCCACCTCTCAGCATTCTGTTGACTGTCATCCCTGTACACAGCTCCTTTCAGCATCACTACCTCAATCGCACCTCCCTGGAACATAAGGGGAAAAACAGCAATCAATCAATCAATCAGGGGAAAACAGCACATTAGCGAATATTTTCATTATGTGGATAGAGCATAGGATGTTCGACTTCAAGTCTTCTTAAATGTTCAGAAGTTGTTCGTCTTGCCTGCCAATATTTTGGTAGTCCGAATCCTCAGTGCTAGTGTAAGGTAAGTTATGATACAATGAACAAGCTAGAATACAGCAGAATATGATGGAGATTTAGCCATACTGACAGCTCCACCTTGCAGAATAAGTAGGCATTACAGCCCTACAGCTGAGGAAGGTTGCAACAAGACTGCCAAAAGAGACAGAGAGAGAGGGGGAGAGAGAGAGAGAGATACAGCATAGCGTCAGCCTTCTCAAAACATGCGGCCTACAAAAATTTTTGTGCCGCCTACTTTTGGAAAAATGTAAGAAAAAAAACCATTGTAGTCTGTGTTACAAACACATTCACGACTCGCCTGGTACTTTTTTATTTCCGCCACCCACTGACCTTGAGGAGTGCAATCTGGTCCTCCTGGCTCAAGGTCATGAAGCCGCGGAGCTGTTTGGAGAAGAGCACGATTTTCTCGATGGTGACGGTCATCCCCTCCTGCAGATGCTGCTGCTTCTGGTCCAGAAGGTCCTTCTCTGACTTGCTCCGAACCTCGTCATCGTTAGGCCACAACTGGGGGGGGGGGGGCACGAAGACAGTTCTCCATAAAAAATTTCAGCCGGTTGGTAAACGACTGAATAGCAAGGTTCTTTTTATCACAACCATTTATTTGTTTGGTTTATTTTTCACTAGCTGACATTTCGATGACCGTCTGTCATCTTCATCAGGGCAATTCCCTGATTCATCAGAAAATTGCCCTGATGAAGATGACAGACGGTCATCGAAATGTCAGCTAGTGAAAAATAAATGGTTGTGATAAAAAGAGCTTTGCTATACAGACAGTTCTCGTTTAGAGTTAAAACTTAAGATCCAACACAAAAAGTTTCCTCTCCTAAAGCTTTTGAACAGTCACTCTGGTCTTCCTCAGTAGACTGACCCAGTGAGGCTTGTCATGTGGCTTCTTTGAAGTGTGACATCAACACTGGGTCAAAGGTATCTGGTAGACAGGGGAGGGGGTATAGTAAAAGGAGGGGGGGTCTAGTGAAAAAGGGGGTCTGTCGTACCGTGGTGATTTTGGGGTCTTGAGCCCACATCATTCTGGAACGCAGACACCACCTCCATGCACAAGTCCTTCTGTTCTGCACTAAGCTTCAGTAGCTGGTTAGCCTGCCCGTTAGTAGTGGAGGACGTGCTGGGAGAACCCGGTTGTGAGGAGGACGGGGAGCAGTCTGACTTTGGGTACTTCCAGCGAAACTTGGACTTTGTTTGCGCTTCTGTTAAGAGACCTGTATGTGGTAACAACAAAGAAAATTAGTCTTCTTGAACTCTTGCTGTTGCAATACCACTTGCTTCCACTAGGGGGAGCAGTCTGACTTTGGGTACTTCCAGTGAAACTTGGATTTTATTTGCACTTCTTTTAGTAGACCTGTGGTGAATAAAATCAACATTACAATCTATTCAAACTTCAACTGCAATACCATTTGCTGCCAACAGGAGGAGCTGCTGTGGATATTTCCACACTTCTTTCAAGAGACCTGCAATGACTCATCTCATTTGATGCAGTACCATTTTTCTCCAAAAGGAGGCACTTTTAGTACATGTACACAGGTTTCTGTATGGATTAGACAATGTGGATATCGGCCACAAGTGTAAGGTAAACAAATAAACATTCAAATATTAAACAAATAAACAAACAGTACTCATGGGTTTAGAATTATCTTCTTACACAACCAGTAAGGTTCTCACCTTGCTGACGTTTCGATGTCTATCAGACACCTTCCTCAGAGCTTCTGACTGGAGTTCTGCAACTCGCCGCTATTTATCGCCAAAGTAGGTGGCGAAACGTAAGCAGGTGAGAACCTTACTGGTTGTGTAAGAAGAAATTTCTATACCCTTAGTATCTTCCAACCTGATGAAATTATTTACGGATAAACTGTGTTACATATGAAGTTCCAGTACTCAGATTCAGCCTTCATGCCGACATCCTGTGTAAGGTAAACAACTAAACAAACATAAACAAACAAACAAACAGTACTCACACTCCGCCTTCATGCCGACATCTCTACACTTCCTGAGCCGGCATCCCTGGCACGTGCTTCGCAGCCGCACATTCATCTCACAGTTCACATAAACAAATAAACAAACAAACAAACAAACAGTACTCACACTCCGCCTTCATGCCGACATCTCTGCATTTCCTCAGCCGGCATCCCTGGCACGTGTTTCGCAGCCGCACATTCATCTCACAGTTCCCGCCATATTTACACGTGTAGTTGGCCTTCTTTATTACGCTTCTTCTGAAGAAACCTGAAGGAAACAGAAACGTTACATTTTATTTTGCGTGAGATTTACACCTATAATGGGCCTCATGCACTATCCAGTTTAACGTTTAGTTGTTCCCCGTCAGTTGTACTTTTTCTTAAAAAAATGGGAGGAAAGGAGGCATTACTTAGACATGCAAAATTTCTTATTACACCTTAGATTTAAACCTCTTTCTTAATCATGCATCTTCTGAAGAGACCTAAGGAACATTTTGACCTGTTACTTGAAAATTTTTATATAATGATATCATTATGACTCTTGCATTGTACTTTTCACAATGATGACTAAAACAAGTAGTGTAATACTTTATAAAGGTGTAAATTCTTTAATTTTTCTTTTTTTATAGCAGAGGATGAAATTTCCTAAGTCTACTCTCATCTGCCAAATAAACATACGGGTACGTTTATTTTTTGGGGCCCAAACATCCACCCAGTACGTTCTTATTTTGCACAGTACGTTTATTAATTTTTTGAAAACCAGTAATTTTTTTCAACTTCGTGTGAAAAAAATTGACAAATCATCGACGTGAAGACGTTTATAAACGCATATTGTAGCGAGAAACTTGTCATTTTCCGGCCGGTTTTTGCAATCACCGCGTGCGTAAATTCGTCTGAATGTTCTATTGTCATGGGTGGTGCTTATCAAAATACAAAATATTAAATGCTCTTTTTTTTTGTCTATTTAAATTCCTAATTGCAAATAACAGTTAAAGATTTGTACATATATCAGTAAGGGTGCATTTTAGTACAAGAGACACAGGTTACCCGTCAATTTTGGTAATTTTCCGGGGGTACGTTTATTCCGGGGGGTATGTTTATTCGGCAGATGAGAGTACATTGAACCTGTGACTAATTAAAATTGATACAGAATTCTGTCTTAAGGAACACGGTAGGAAAACCAGCGGGGTTTGCTCTAATGACTAACCAACAGGAAACGCAAACACAACCTCAAAAGGGGTCTGTTTGTAAAAGCCTCTCCCATTGGTCGGAATGTTACGCACTGAAACTGGTCAAACAGTACAGAGCGATGACCTCCTTACATCAAATGAAATCTGTAGAACTTATTACTAAAAGGCCAATTCTGAATCAATTTGCTTCCTTGTTTCTCTGGCATTCTGAGATAAAAATCTTATAACAAAACAGGGAAATTTATATTTGGTAATACTCACTGGTGTACACAACCTAAAAAAATTGTATGCACAAAAAAAAATTTTACCGCATAATAAAAATAAGTAGAATATCAGCAAAAACTAAATTATATTTCATTTGAAAAGAAAAGTACTACAGCAATGCTTTTATTAATTTTCTGACACTTAGACGTTAAGAATATGATGTGTACTACTTATTGATAAGTTACTACACATTTTTTGTACATTTAACATACGTAAATTCTACAAAAATATTTGGGTGCACCTGAAAAAAAAAATGGGTGCACAGCTCCAAATGTGGGTACACTAAGGTGCACATGCATTTCCAGCCCTGCAAAAACAGATCTAGAGGGCTAGGAGGAAATGTTACAATGTTACTTGAATCTGACTCATATTCATTCCGTGAATGTGTAATTAAGGTACAGGCTTTCCCCTCAGACTATTTGCTTCCATGTTGACATTTTAGTTCTGATATCTTTTTCTTTAATCACAGAGTCAACAAGCTGAGGTAGAGCAGCCTTTAATGGACTGATTAAGATCTGAAATAGATCTAGAGTTCGGACAAACAAACAAACCAGATCAAGAAAGGGCTTCCTGTACAGTCATTAAAAGTGGGCCAAAGGTTATCCAGGCCTCGAAATTAACTTTTCTTCCTATTGTCCCTGCACTGTCCCAAAAATAAATTTCACTTGCTCTGAAGTGAGAATGAACAGTTACTGTCCTAACCATTGGACCGCCTTTAATTTCAAGTGTCATCATTTGAGCCTGGCTCACAGTCAGAAATGCACCTTTGCGCAGCTTGCACCACTCTAAAACAAACCACAGATTATTTCAATAAAAGTTTGGTTTGTTAATTCATTGATTACCTTTTGCTTATTTTACGGTGTACATGAGAATTACGAGAGAGGGAGAAAGAGAGGTTAATGTTTATGAGATTATTGTGACAACCTACAAGATATATTAGGCAGGTGGCAAATTGCCATCAGGCCCTGGTATTGCAGTGCAAGCACGTCTAACCCTCAGGACAGGGAACAACAGACGATAAACCGGACAGTGAGTGAGCACTTCGAACTTATCATCATTATCAAACTATATCATCGAAATATCGCTGTTGTTTGATCTATATTGTATTTTGCATTACAATGTACATATTTATGTTCTACCTCGATGTCTAACCTTCACTTACATAACAACTTTAACAATAAAAAGGATTTCAATTATGTTGATCTTGAAAGTTGAAAAATGACCACCATATTGAGCGCCCTTTCTGAGTTCTGTCAGTATGATTGTGACATGTTTCTCCCTGAGCACACCTGGAGGCAGCACATTCACTGACAGATGTTTGCCGACCGTCTCTACAGACAGTTGCACAGTGACTACTGCTGTCATCATGGTATAATTAAAAACAAAGTCTGTCCATGTGCACCTGCAGGCAGTTCATTCAGTATTTCTGAACTGTCACTTCTGTAAATAGTGTCAGATCTGCCACTGTAAGGTTACAGACCACACCAATTTTCTTGAACATTCAGAGATAAAGCTCAAGCAAAAGTGAAACAAAGCACAGCCACAGGAAACTCTGTTTTACTGTATTCACAACTCTGACGCTCTTTTTTTCAGGTGATTTTGCCAACTAAGCCCACCAACAAAAAAAGAAAAATTAAACCTCAGCGTTCCAGTTTCTAATCTAAAAACCAGCAAACTACCTTGCCGCAGCCTGGGTCTGACTTGTTTTTGAGTCCTGATGGACTTCACCTGGAAAAGTCACATCCAGATGTTTATAATGGGATTAAGAATCTGAATAAAGCTGTCATCAGGAACGCAGCAGTGCCAAAACCCCCTCACTGACAAAACCTCCACACTGTACATTCGCTTCTTTCCACGTCTCAACCTTCACATCTGCAAATATGATCTAACCGTCTAACGGCAGTATCAACAGCACTGGTTCTACAATTTGAAAGAATTATGCGTTGAACTGGAAGAAGAATCTTTTAAATTGAAAACAAAGTCTGAGGGGAAAGTGAACGTTGGTATTACCAGTTTCAGGGAGTGAACATACATGTAGTCAGTCAAATTTCCCTTCAAACCTCTATTTTCATCTTTTCTATAGATCTCTTTTGTCAAAATTTTTACTTTAGAATAAGTTGTTACTTTTGAATTCTCTATCAAATCAGAGCCAGAGCCAACTTGAAAAAAATGAAGACTCCTCTTCAGACAGTCTTCATGATTTGGTCTTCCTGACCTCAACACTACCCAAACCTGGGCAAATACAGCAGGTTGTGCAGATCCCAGACCACCATTGTTCAACACGTGACAACTATTCCTCCCTCCTCACTGCAGCCCTATAGAGTCAACACCGTGTCTCACCCAGGAAGTTCTCAATAAATCATGTCACAGGCAGGACGTGTTTGTCGTCACGCTAGAACGCACGCTTCTGTACGCACCTCCTGTTACCATGGTTACCAGACACACCTGCGGACACCCTGAAACACCACCGTTTACCTGCTGGTTCTTTTGAAGAGTCTTGTCGTGACCTTTGTGAACATTGAACTATCACAAGGTCATCTGAAGGTTATATTTTGCACAGATTTTTAAAGATTGGCATGACTATAGATATTATTTCCATTATTTATGGAAGCAATATATCTAACCGTGCCAATTTTAGTAGTCGTAATTATTTATTTTATTCATTTATTCATTTACACATGCTGCATCTCAAGTAATGATGACAAAATAAAAGAAGATGGAAATGAGGGGTAGTTGATACCAAGACTTACAAATGTACCTATGAAACTTTGAAACTTTCTTCGAATTACCATTGGTGGTGGGCCAAGATTCCACCACTAGTCTTCCTGGTATTCAACACATACAATGTATACCTAGAATGGGAGGAGAAAGCCTAGGGTAGTTTTATGTTGATGTCATGTTGGAATGATGTCTGGACAGTATAACCCCCCTTCCCAGCTTCTACACTAACAGTTAGCCAGGGTGTCTTCTATACTATCAGTCAATCACAGGATATAAAACATAACAGTAGAGAGATTAGACAATCATCTCAGACGTAGGCCACAACAATTTTATCTTATAAATCTGTTAAATAAACTTGAATGAATGCAATATACAATAATGTATAATAGCCGATTGGTTGATTATTTTGAATTCATTTAGGGGCCTTATATATTACGTCGATGAAGGTTAGACATCCAGGTAATAAGATACACCAAAAAACTGTTACTCAAGCAACAAGATATGATGTTGGAAATGGTCAGACGATTCAGCTAGCATCCACTACCTTTCGTCAGTGACACAGTGCCTTATATATTACTTTGTTGAAAGTTTACATTTCTTTGTATAAGATTAAGAAGGTCATTGGTTTCAAACAACATAAACAGTTTGCTAAAGCACTCTTGGTATTATATATACTAAGTAACTTTACTTGACACATGATAATACCTCTTCCCATTTCCATGTCTGAAAGGCCCTTTCTGCTATTTACTTTAAACTTATTGTACTTTGGTCGAGTTCCCAACGAAAGCCAGTCCTTCTGTTATGGTACCCAAAATAGAGCCTGTGTCATCTCATGACTGGATGTTTGTCTATGTTCCTGTGGGTTTTATTAAGTGTGAAGAACTGAGTACATGTACATGTACAGTAGGGCTCGAAATTAAAGGTAGTCCAATGGCCACTGACCACTAAAATCTAGGCTGGGACAACTAAAAAGACACTTTGGGACATTTTGGGGACAACATAAAAATAATCAACATCAGAATGTCAGCCCTTCTTTTGTTTATCAGGCACACGTCCGACTTTTGGATCCTGGAAAACTACCCCCGAATTTCCT